TGAATTTTAGTTCCATTGGAGTACCTACAAGGTTTCTTCGTGATTATTTATTACACTTGACAAGTATTACTCTTCTAAGTGTTATTTCTTCGCACTCTATTGAGACATTGGAAATTGTACTGGAATTTGATAGACGAAGCATCATTTGACTTGGGATGTGATTTTCGTTCCATTTGATTAAACGGTTTTTAAAAAATGAATTGTTAAACATTACGAAATTTATACGCTTTTTGCCGTTGGCGCACCATGCTTTTCTAAATGTCATTTCTGAGCAACCAATTGAGACATCAGAAAGTGTGTACCAGTAATCGACAGAGGAAGAGTTTAGGCGACTTAAGTTCTGGTTTTTGTTCCATTCAACTAAATGGTTTCTTCATATATTGTTAAAATTTACGAGGTTCATACGCGATTTTATGTATTTGCACCATACTCTTCGAAATTTAATTTCTGAGCAGCCACTTGAGACATCGGAATACGGATAACAACAATCGATAGAGCAAGCTTCAGTTTATTTGGGGTGTAATTTTAGTTCCATTCGAGTGTCAGGTTTCTTCCTGATTAGTTATTAAAACTCACAAAAATTCCGCGCGGTTTTTCGTTTTTGCACCAGGCTCTTCTCAATGCCATTTCTGAGCAAACGATTGCGACATCGGAACGGGTAAAGCAAAAATCGATAGAAGAAGCTTCAGTTTAATTGACGTGTGATTTTTGCTTCATTTCAGTAAATGGTTTATTCATAATTAATTGTTTAACTTTGCGGGATTTAAACGCCGATTTCAGTTAGTGCACCAGGCTTTTCTAAATGGCAATTTCTGAGCAACCAAATGAGACATCAGCAATCAATAGAGAAAGCTTCAGTTTAGTTGGCAGGTGTTTTTTCTTCCATTTAAGTTGAAGGATTCTTCTAAGGTTCTGAAGCTACAAAGAGCGTTAGACTTTCACAAATTGTCCCATTTACTGAAGCGTCTTTAACACTTAGTTTTTTTTTCCAGGCTGGTTCGGGACAAGACACTTCGTCACTTTAATGCTGTCTCTTGGCATGGCCAATGCCTATGTTATGAGGACCAACATGTCCGTAGCTATTGTAGCTATGGTGAACCACACAGCTATTGCCATTGATGACGCCGCCGCAACAGACAATGTAGCTGTGTCTGAATGCGGCGTAACTATTGACAAGAATTCTGTAAGTTTCCTTTTCTCACGTGGTTTCACTTTACTATACCAAGAAGATGTGTGGAAGAGAAATGGGATACAGCGTGCTTCTTTTGCTTCAGTCGTTAACATCACCTGAAGCTGACGGTCAATTCGTGTGGCAAACCGATATACAAGCCTACGTTCTGTCCGCATTTTTCTACGGATACGTTTTGACGCAAATCCCAGCAGGAATTTTGGGCAAAAAATATGGGAATATCCGCTTTTTGGGCATCGGGATGCTGATCAACTCGGTGTTTGGTCTGCTCGTGCCCATTGCGGCCGAAATGGGCCTCGGATGGCTGCTAACTGTGAGATTTATACAAGGATTAGGCGAGGTAAGTACGTTGATTGATGATGGTGCCTTTACGAGTCGATTTTATTTGAATTATTGTAAAGACGCAATCAGATCCTGAAAAGGTGATTGGTGAGGAAAAAGACGCTGCTTTGTCCAGAGAACATTCCAATTGAATTCAACTGCTTTTTTCGTGACAAGGCAGGGTTTTCTTCCTGAAAACGCCGGTTTTTGAATTGTTACTATTCCCGGGCAGGGTCCGATTGTTCCGTGCAGCCACGCTTTACTTGCAAAGTGGATCCCCCCTAACGAGAGGAGCCGCATGGGTTCGTTCGTATACGCAGGTACTATTTACTAGTTGATTTTGAGATATTTTTGCATACACGTATATGGCTATGATCAAAGGCCTTGATTGAAATCAGCAACACCAACGCATTCCCTCACTTTGCATCAAATGCCGGTAATCAGTACATCCGACTGTAGGGCGCACTGATGCGGAATGCAAAATTCTGTCCAACTTTGATGATCATGCCGCATTAAACGTGCTCTTTGATTATAGCCATTTCGAACACATTTCGCTCATTATCTCCTGAGTGAACAAGGCATAATTCCTGCATAGAAGCTCCCAATTACCTTAATTGTTGCATTTCAAACTGATGGTCTGACTTTCAAACGTTTTAAACAACTCATCACACATCAACACAGTCACTTTACATTTGAATTGTTTGTTGATTCTGGAGAAACACTCTTTGTGTTCCGTTGGGTGGATGAACTCACTTACAATAATATAAAGAGTTTGTAAAATATTTGCACGAAATGTTAGCGCACAGATTCCTGCGGAGCAAGCGCGATGATTAAACCTAATTTGTCTCATCGAAAATCGGATGATTTTTTGATGTAAAAGGCACCAAAGTTGAGGGTAAATTGGATTAGAATGTCCAATCAACAGCTAGTATGGAATGGACATGTTGAGCGGATGGACCAAAAGCGAATCCCTAAGCAAGTTCTCAGGTGGAAACCAAGCGAAAAAAGCAGAGATAATGAAGAGGAATGGGAGGATAGAAGAGAATGCAATACACCTGGATATGTTTTCACTCCAGGAATCGGTGGTAGGATTTTGTGCACAATAAACGCTAGTGTGAACAACTGAAAACTCAAGAATTTCCAAGTGTGGCAAAAACCCAACCGTTTCGAAGTCAAACCGTTAAATGCGAAAGAAACAAAGTCTTGGTAATTGGAAGCTGCTACAGGTTTTGCCATTAGGGGGAATGAGAGGGTCTGATAGATCTGGACGTTTCAATTGATTACTTAGTGTCGAAGATAAAAATGGGTGTTTTCCTCCACGTTCTGTTGTTGTTAATCTTATCGCAGGATATTACAAATAAGCACAAACACATAACGAAATCCACACAAATCCCTATTTACATTCGCCCATCTCCGTACACAAAGCATTTATCAGGAAATTCTTATTGGTTGTAACTTAAGAGATTAGGACTTTGTAAATTTGAACTTACTTGAACTGCGCAAGCGATCGATGTTGAACGTTAATAAAACGGTTTATTGTGGGAACACGTATTGATAAGGACGGTTTATTATTTAATTGGTTCACTTGGTAAGACCTGCAGCCTTGCTCTCAAAAACGCATTTTTCCATAGGAAAAACTCTGTGCAAATAATCTCCTAATCTCTGCATCTGAACGCGTTGAAACTAAATTAGCAAATCAGAGGCCTAAAAGTCCAAAAAATCCTTCATTTATTACACTAAGAAGTTTCACAATTACATGATTTTTTTACTTTATGTAACACAAAAATATCAACCACGAGTCTCCTAATTGCCATGTACATTACATTTTTATCTGTATGTTAAAGTTCAAGTTCCCAGATAACTAATGAACGTCAATCGGTTGCATTGCTTACACTGAACTAGTTTGATTTTTGAGGCAATTCAAGAATCTCGCTTTGTGCTGCCAAACTGCCCAAAGCGACCGTTTGGGATTCAAGCGAGCCGCATGCGGCACAACATGTTGTTCTGGTGATTTTGCAAGTCGATAAGTGACTTTGCGCTTTCACGATTACGAATAGTGTTTATTAACGGATCAGTAAACAATTTAATTGCGCTCATCCATCCAATTTCCTGGAGTATTCAAGGGCAACATGACTAATCTAGTATCGAAGGAACATCGTTTTATTTGAAAAATCCTCCAATTCACTTTGAAGAATGAGTGCGCATCTGTTTTTGGGTTCTTCATTATCATTGATAAGCAATAGAGGCGACTTAACTATAGCGAACGCTTTAACTATTCTACTATAGAGACTTGTTTCTATTCACAGGAGCGCAATTGGGTACTGTCATCTCCCTGCCTCTTAGTGGGCTCCTTTCGGTCTCACAATGGGGCTGGCCTGCAATCTTTTACGTTTTTGGAGCTGTTGGCACCGTATGGTGCATCACCTTCCTGATCTTCGTCAAAGAAGATCCCGAATCCCATCTTACCATGGATCCGGTTGAAAGAGAATATATCCAGAAGTCTTTGGGCACTATCGTGGGAAACACTGTAAGCACACTTTATAACGTAATGGCTGTTAAGAGTGTTTAAAACACTGGAACCGTTTGGAAGACTTTTTCAAAGGCGCATGTTTTTCAGTTTGCTGTAAAACAGTATTTTACTTTTCCAGAAGACTCCACCGACTCCATGGCTGGATATAGCAAAGTCCTTACCTTTCTGGGCCATTCTTTTGGCCCATATGGGCTACAATTACGGCTACGAGACCCTGATGACCGAACTGCCCACTTATATGAAGCAAGTTCTCCACTTCAGTATTAAAGATGTAAGTATAATGGACTCGACAAAAATTCGAAAAAATTTTGGAAAGTGCTCAATTTAATGCTCTACCCAGGGGCGGATCCAGTTTTAAATTCAAGGGTCGGGTTATGTAGAAAAAATAGAGTCTTCTGTTGTCTATGAAATTAGAAAAATTATTGTCGTTTTGTGCAAGAGTGGCGTAAGATTATTGTAAAATTTCGTGTTTTCCGTCCCCTTTTTGCTCATTTCTCGGAGGCAAAGTGAGCAAGAACGCTCATTTGTACATCATTCT